ATACATAGTGGAAGGATGTTTTTATGTAGTACAGGATTTTTGGCCATATTTCACCAAAAATTGCTAGGAGAGACCGCTGCTCCTGCAATTCTGTGTAGCTCATTGTTTATTCAGAAAAGAAGACATCATAAAAACAAAAAAAGTGTTCTAAAAATATGCACACAAACATATGAGACTATAATTCAAAATCAGCTTTTTACATAACATTTTATGAACTAAAAATTTAGAAATACCTTAAGGAGACAATTGTTGGCGGGTATTTAATTATTAATTCAGCAAATTATAGCAAATTTTACTTCAGTCTGCACTAACTTTAATTTTTGATTAAATTACTAATAGTCATTGCTATTAAATGATCAAAACTCTAAATTAAATACCAGCCAAATCTCAGTATCAAAAAAATTGCTAAAATATGTGTTATATATTGATATATTATTTTGGTATTGATTCCTATTATTATTTTCTAAGGCATTTTGATTACAGTTATTTCTAGTATTATTATTATTGTTATTATGATTATTATTACTACTATTGTTATTACAATTATTATTATTACTATTATTAATTATTATTATTATTGCATTGCTGTACGATGTTATTTCTTTTCCTTCTAGCTGATGCTTATGATTTACTATGCTTATTAGTTCATGTATACTGATTCTGATTGTTGTGTAATGTTTTGTCATTGTGATGTAATATGATGTAATACTGTTTGTATATAAGTGTATGCTCTTTTCATTTTTGTCAGAAGAGATTTTAGCCTTTTTACAATAATCAATATTTACAAAATACGAAGGTCAAGCTCTCTCCATTCGGTCACTACACTGGCGACGAGGGTAACTGGACTACTTTGCTGTTTCTTCCTACTTCTCACTACTTACACTATGGCTACGCACGGCAAGATGTCGGCATTCGATGGTTCCAAGGAATCTTGGACTTCTTACTCCGAGAGACTTGACTTCTACTTCAAGGCTAACAAGATTACAGCAGCAGAATCTCAGAAAGCAGTCTTTATTACTGTGATAGGACCTAGGACGTACGGGCTACTGAAGAGCCTACTACAACCAAAGACACCTCAGGACGCTACCATCACCTTGGATAAGATGAAGGACGTTCTGCAGAAGCATTTCGATCCTAAGCCATCTCCTATAGTTCAGCGCTTCAAGTTCCACACGAGAGTTAGGAAACAAGACGAGACAGTGGCAACCTATGTGGCAGAGCTCCGTGTGATAGGAGAACATTGCGATTTCCAAGATTCTCTAGATGCTATGATTCGGGATAGGCTCGTTTGTGGCATCAACAGCATTCGAATCCAGAGAAGACTGTTACAAGAGCCAGACTTAGACTACGATAAAGCATTTCAAATAGCTCAAGCTATGGAGCTAGCTGCTCATGATGTCTCTGATCTACCTGGGAGTAAATCACAGCACCAGACGCCGACTCCTGTTCATAACCTTCAACACAAGAAGGAATCGTCACACAGGCAGAGTAAAGTTGAGTGTTACAGATGTGGTGGAGATCATTACGCTACTAAATGCAAGTTTATTGAGGCAGATTGTAGGCTGTGTGGAAAGAAGGGACACCTAGCCAGGGTATGTCGCAGTCGAAAAGAGAAGCCACAGCAGCAGAGGAATCATCCTAAAGCCAAGACTGGGTACCCACCACAACCTCAGCAGAATAACAGACAACACCCAACTCACAACCTGGACCACAAGTCACATCCTCTTCTCATGGGAGACTCTGACCAAGAGGACTACCCATTGTTTACTTTGCCTTCTGCTGGAAACCTATTGTTGTTTCAGTGAGTGT